GTGCAAGCGGGTAAGCCAACTCAAGCTACACAGCCGATGATTTACCCCGCACCGTATGCCGCTGCACTGGGTCGTGCCGGACAAATCACTCAGCAAAGCAGCATTGTTGTTGGAGGACAGGAACCACTGACTACTGAAATGTTATCTCAAGCACCTCCGCAGGTAACAAATTTCGTGAGCTTTTGGGGGGTTAATGTAGAATTCACTGGATTTGTTGCACCTGTTTACGGTTACCTCTTTATGAGTTTTGGAATCCGGTTTTGCAGTAGGTCGTTCCTGAATACATTGGGTACCTTGGTAGTATTTTCAAATATTTTGTCATTTATGATTAGTCGTCAACATCAATGTGGCTTTTCAGGAGCAAAAACAAATGTTGGGAGAACGGATTTACCCGCTGATTGACAGAATTTGTCAGGGATCCGATGTAGGAAAAATTACGGGTATGATGCTTGAAATGGATAATTCAGAATTACTTATGATGCTCGAAAATGAGGAACTTTTGCGATCTAAGGTGCAAGAAGCTGCCTCCGTGTTGGCGTCTTCAAAAGGCGAGGCTCACTAACCGTCGTAGAATTTGAGCCAGCAAGTACTTTTTAGCGATCACAAACTTGGTTTTGTGATCACTTTATGTTCACATCCAATTTTTTTTTACTAGATTCATTTCAAAAATTAAAAAATGACTTTAAAAAAATTGAAAAATAAAAAATCACTGTTCTGCATATGTTCTTTTTCTAATCTCTGCCCTTCTGCAGTTGCAATGTTTTTCATCATGGTTCTTTAAGCCACTTGTGTAAAATAGTCGTGTCATGCTCTCTAACTTCAAACGGGAAGTGTTTAAGCATTCCGTTTCTAGAGTTGAATCATACTGCCTATTACATTTGACTTTCAGTGCGATGAGCTTTCGTCACAACGCTTTTACAATTTCTACTTGTTGTATCTATCAAAAGTCTTTATTCCTCTTCACCATCATTAGTCGCCTACTTCATTTACTGGGTTCATTAACAATTCTGCGCCAATTGCATAGCGGTGTCTAATAAAATCTTTATTTGAAGTCACGACTGTCGCAGTACCCGCGCTTCAACTGTATCACGACTTCAAGATCACATGGGCTTTTGAAGCAAAAGGCGCCCTGGTTTTCATATACTGCTGACATCGGGCGGGAAAACAGCACGTGGAATTGGTAGAACGATACTTTATTAAGACTATAATTGCATCAGTGTCCCACCGACAACCACCTGACAAGGTGGTGGGGCAAGACTGTATATACAAGAGAGGCATTAGAGCTTAATGCGACAAAAGCCAGCCTGGTGAGACCAATTCTTAGAAAAAAATTAGTCCTTCAAGTCACTACGATAACTAATACCTCAAGCAACAGTTTCGCGAATGTCGGGTTTGGGAGCCATAAACCTTCAAACTCCAAGTTCAGATGTTCACGTTACCAGCTAAACAATTTCTCTTCAACCTCTTCCCCCACCTACAAAATTGAATCTATGGTCTGCAAGGTACAGCGCGCATCTGCCACGTCAATGCCGCCGCTGTACGTTACGCTAAAGCTACATCTTGTATCCTAAACGACTACTTTACAAACGTTCGGACCCCACCAACCAATCTTATTAAGAGTTAGGCCCAAAAAAGCGACACTCTTGTAAAGCACATGACTAATAAAACTTCAGCCGTAAATCGAAACGATTGAGGGCACTAAAGGCAAGAGTCTTTCCAATAGCAGAGGAAACAATATTCAGAAACCAAAAAAAGCTACGGTTTTACCGTGACATACACAGTATGCAGAAAATGAGTTGATGGGGAGTAAAAAATAATGGAATGACCAGAAATAACAGGCATCTTAAAGAGCAGTTGTCTACTAGTACGTACAATGGCAACAAAAATTATGTAAAACAGTCTCACAGGGAGGAGGGAACAACAACACGAACGAGAAAATCAAAAACAAAAGGCTGAAGTGAAGAGGTAAGGATGAATCACACGTTCACATGAAACAAAAATACTGTAACTAAAATGCATGAACTAGAATTACTGGGTATGAGTAAGAGAACTCTTGAGCCAGTTTGGCGCTGGCAGATCATTTCTGTCCAAAAACCGGGCCAATGCAATATTATCGTCTTTGTATATTAGATCAAGCTGCTCTCTTAATTCCTTTTCCATTGGCGGGTACTTACGGCCTTTGCTTGCTCCTAGACACTTATTCTTACCTAAAACAATAAAAAGTCATTGGAGCAATAGATCATAATAGAAACCGCAGTGTTGATCTTCTGCTTCAATATTACACTCGTTCATGTCCATAAAGCTACAGTATATGGCCGAAATTTTAATATTCATGGAAACTAAACAAAAGAGGTAAATCAGAGAGTCTTTGCACTTCTATTCTGTATGAATAATTTTGGCTAACCGTTCGGGCCTGCAACACAAAAAAAGCCTTTTGCGTCATCATATTTCAACAACTGATCAAAAGGAAAATCTGTCATATGGAGAGAAGCAATAAGCTGGGCTAGAGCTTGAGCGGGGTTTTCGCGAAGAGTCTGTCCATCAACAAAATGCATTTGACTAAGTGGGAAATAATCCAGCCATCTTTCGATATGATGAGCGTACCTGCAAACCAAACAACAAATAATCATAGATTTAAGACACTTTTTAATTAAAAAATTGGTACTCTACCTTCCAGGGGATGTACATCGCTGCTTTAACCGTCGAATCGACAATGAAGCTGTGGAATCCGATGCAAGGATTTCGTTCAAACTGTAGTCTAATGCAATCGTATTATTATGAGCCCTCATATGGTGGTACCACGAGTAGGCACGCAGCGCCGGGTCGTGCAGTATAACCTTAAAGTATATAACTGTTAAAAGAAACGTAGTCCCGCACACAGATACATGATTCCTTATGTACCAATTTTACACTTAGTTCCTCCTACAACAGCAAGAAAATCTCCTACACCGGCAAAATGCCGACGCGACCGTTACTGTTTTGACAAAAACTGAATTTAAATTCGTATGGCTCCTACACAACACATTTTTTTACTGCATACATTTCGCGTACGGTTTTCTGATTTATTTTTCACTGAACTTCAGTTTTTAAGGTTATCAGCGCCGAAAAAGAACACAAACAACTTGGATTCATTCCACTTCCAGACAGTTCCAGATATATGGATGCTCTGGCAGTAGCCACTTCGTAAGCAACCAGCAATTTTTAGCATCCTTGTGCTAGACGCTTTACGATTTTAAAGTCAGGATATAAATTAGTTCACTAATTCTTAAAAACAGCAGAGTTGTCTTTGCGAACCATTACATGATCAAAGCAGCCTAAGTTTTTAAAAAAACTTTGCTTTTCTGCACTATCAGTTATACTGTTTTAAGGGTAATTTCGCTTTAAAAGTTGATCCATTTAGAAGTAAGGTGTTCATTCGACAGCATTATTCCTGAGCTCTATAAAGGAAAAAATTACAAAAAGCTATCCGCATAGAAGACCTTGACAGTCGCCTAAAAAGTAAGGGTCGTTTGACAGCAACCCCAGCCAAAAAACGCAAAGAAGAATAATATTACGTAGTGCATTTCCTTATATACCCAATAGGCATCAAGAGAAGGATAAGTTCGCTATTTAAAAAACTTATGCAATTCTCAAGTCAGACCACTAATTCGTAAAACTAACCCCAGATAACATCAACGAGAGAAAATAAACGTAAAATGATACTTAATGAGCAGAAAACGGGAGAATTAAAGATCCTTAAACTCTCAGCATCCCAAGCAAATTATGGCTTTGAAAGCAGCGAGAAGATTGACGAACTTTAAAATGCACTCTGCAAGAATTTTTATACTCAGCAGGGTCCCCACCAGTGATCTAGTAATGAAGGAGCTTACTCAAATTCCAGTGCTAAGTGCGAATATTGAAAAACAATTTTTAAAGATATAAAAGGTGGCTAACAACGATATCTGCTTTTGGCAAGAGTGCAGCTGCTGTCCGGGGAGCCTCTGGATTATCAAAGTATGTTGCACTTTTCTCAAAAACCAGCTGGTTAGAAGAGGTTCTATTGAGAAATTGGTTCATGTACCTGAAAATGTTAAGGAAAAGACAATTAACATAAAAATCCCACTTTTCTGATTTGCGAGCACAATAAATCCGGCAGAAGGCTTACCAAAGAATTCCTTTTTCATAATTTACTCCACCAAAAAACTGCAACTCTTCAAATGACACTGGAATTGGACCATTTGTAACAAAACCTGGATGCAAAGCTAAATAAGTAGCTAAAGCAGTAGAACCACTTTTCTGAGGTCCCACAATAAGAATATTTGGCAAAGACATATGGCTACAGTTATACTCAGCTGGAAGAATCTTGACGTGTCTGTCATCAGTGCAAGGATTCTGAAAACTGTAACTGTGACACAGCTGCAACTGCAGGAAGAGAGCAACTCAATTTCACGAGGCAAATCAAAACATATTTAATTGTATTCTGTCCTTCAAAGTGGAAAACACGCTAAAAATCTTTATAGAAGCGTGCCGGTAATAGCATTACAAGAACTTACTCCCCACACTGGCAACTTCTCTGTAGAAAACCTTTCAAAATACAGCTTGGCTAATGTCACTGGTTCCACCCACTTCAAACGCAGATTAGTCCAACAGTTTATAAAGTCAACAACACGTTCAAAAGTGAAAGTCCCCAACCGATCATTCGCATAATTCTGTTGGTGAGTCATAAATATCGAAAACTGAAATAAAAAAACAAAACAAGTCCTAGTACTGTTATAACTAGTTAATAAACCCCTAGAATAAAATC